CAATGCTACAAGAAAACAAAAAGTATACAAATAAAAGCCAAGACATCTCCATGCATGTGGATTTGAAGACTTAATATTGTTAAAATGTCCATATTACCTGAAACAATTTACAAATTCAGTACAATCCCTGCTGCAGCATTATTCACAATGGCCAAGAGATCCAATGCAAATGTTCATTGGTGGATGAAAGGATAAAATATGGTATATACATACAATGGAAGACTAAGCAGCCTACAGAAAGAAGGAAATCATGTCACATGTTAGAGCATGGATCAATCTCAAGAACATTATTCTAAGTGAAATAAGCTAATCACAAAAGGACAAATACTTTCCTTCATATGAAGTATTTAAGGTAGTCACAATCACAGAAACATCAAGTAGTGGTCGCCAGGGCTGGGGATGGGAGTAGGGGGAAAATTAGTATTTAATGTGGACAAAATTTCAGTTGTGAAAGATAAAATATTTCTAAAGATCTAAATTTCACAATGATGTGAATACACATAACATTACTAAATTGTACACTTTAAAATGTTTGAGATGGTTTTTAAAAAAGGAAAAGGCATAGGAATAAATTTCATGACCTAGAACTAGTTAATGGTTTCTTAAACATGACATCAAAACCACAAGTAACGAAAGAAAAAATAGATAAAATGCACTTCATCCAAAGTAAAAACATTTGTGCCTCAAAGAGTACCATCAAGAAAGTAAAGGACAACCCATAAAATGGGAGAATATTTTTGCAAATTATATCTTGTAAAGCATTTTTATCTGGAATATATAAAGAATTCTTACAACTCAATGACAAAACACAAACCAGTTAAAAATTACTAAGTGTTGAGTAACATTGCTCCAAAGAAGATATACAAGTGGCAAATAGGTACATGAAAGAGGTTCAACATCATGGAAACACAAATGCAACTATGATGAGATGCAGCTTCGGAACCACTAGGATGACTTTATCAAAAAGAGAGTTGATAGTAAATGTTGGCCGGAATATGGAGAGACGCTGGGACCCTCACACAGCTAGTGGGTATATAAAATGGTTCATGTACACTGGAAACAGTCTGGCACCTTCTGAAATGGTTAAACATAGAGGTTCCATATGGCCCATCAATTTCACTCTTAGGTATGTAGCCATGAGAAATGGAAACATACATCCCCAGAAAACCTTGTACTCAAATGTTCTGAGAAGTATAATTCACAATAGCCAAAAAGTGAGAACAATCCAAATGTTCTTAACTGATAAATGGATAATTTTTAGTATATCCATTAATGGAATATTATTCAGCAACAAAAAGGTTTGATGTAATGATGCATACTAAAAATGTGAATGACCTTGGAAATATTATTCTAAGTGAAAGAAGACAGATATGAAAGACACATATTGTATGTTCCATTCATAGGGCATCATGTGACACTGAAGTTAGAATCCAAGTGAGCTACAAAAGGGCAGCCACCAGGATCAAGTCCATCCTGGCAGCTGTCAGAAAGCACAGCATGCTCACTAACGGGGGCCTTACTCACGTTGTCAGATGGAGTTTCCCAGGAGGCCATGGCTTCTTCAGGGATCTGTCACCCAGTGGTGAACGGAGGGGTCTCTGGAGACAAACTGGCCTGGGGCAGCTCCAGCCGCATGGGTTCCCAGATAGTGACCTGGGTGCGTAAGCAGGGAGGCCAAGTAGACCGAGAGCCTCAGGACACCCCCAGCACCTGCTGTGAGCAAGCTGTATGGCTTCCCCAAGCGTGGATGCGACGACATCATGGGTATTTACAGATTCCCTTTCACTGCATCCCAGGCTCTCCTGCTTCATGTGTGATACACCGCACTTGGGGTGGAGGTGCACTGACAGTCGCAAAGGGCCAAGCCTTTCTTTCCCGTGGTTCTGATGCACGGTTTCCAGATACCAGTTAGGAAGGAAATTCTTGTTCTAGTCACATAGGGCTGCTAGGACAAAGTGCCATAGACTTGGGGGTGGTGGCGCATATTAAAAAAGCAAATGTATTTGTCACAGTCTGGAGAATGGAGGTCCGAGGTTAGCGTCCCAGTGTGGTGAGATTCTGGTGAGGGCTCTCTTCCCGGCTTGCAGATGGCCACCTTCTCACTGTGTCCTCTTGTCAGGGGGAGAGAGAACTCTGGGGTCTCTGCTTTTTCCCAAGGCCCTAATCCCCTCATTAGGGCCCCACCCTCATGATCTCTTCTAACCCTGAATATATCCCAAACGTCAAATCTCCAAATACCATCACGTTGGGGGTTAGGGCTTCAACACAGGAACTGTGCGGGGGGTGGGGGGGCGACGTGTGTTCAGTCTGCCAGAGCCCCCCAGTCAGCCCCACTGTGCCCGTTTAGGGGCAGATTGTAGGGCTCACGTGGGACACAGAGGTGGAGGAAGCACAAGTTCTGCCTCCTAGGAATGGCTCAGTCAAAACAAGGACAGGGACAGTGGGATAGACAACAGCCAGTGGGGTAACCAGCAGGAGCTCCAGGGTGTCACTTTCACCTTTAGGTGAGGAAGTTGGCTGGGCACCCACACACACCAGAGTATGGACCACGTTCCCTTCAAACAAGGCTCATTTAACATTCCTAACTCCTGCAAAGGGGCAGTGCTCCCACCGAGCAGAACAAGAGCCAGCCAGCTCTCTCCAATCCCAGGATTTTCCGGGGATACTGATAATGATGGGAGGTTCCAAGAAGCCTCGCTAACGCAGGCAGGCCTTGTGAGTGGGTGGTGGGAGGGATCAGGGCTTCCTCAGCATCTGTCAGTCCCTGGAGCAACTGAAGGGGCTCCCTACACCAGGGGGAAAAAGTGGGGTCAGCCCCTGTGGGTTCCCAGTGCCTGGCATCTCCCAGTTCCTCTGCCCACCCTCACAGATACCCTCCACGGAGCAGCACAGCCCCGAGGACAGAGGCAGCAGCCCTGAGAGCATTTTCCAACACAACTACATTTATTCACATTTACACACAAGACACCCAAGGCACTGCTTCCCACCCCCCAGCCCCTTCCCCCCAGGCCCTCCCTTCCTGCCCTCCCGTTCAACCACCCTCTCCCTCCTCTCCCCTCCCTCTCTGCCCCCCCTTCAGCCACCCTCTCCCTCCTCTCCCCTCCCTCTCTGCCCTCCCCATTCAGCCACCCTCTCCCTCCCCTCCCCTCCCTCCCCTACCCTCCAAAGCTAAGGCCCAGCAAGATCAGCACTGGGGAGGAAGAAG